AGCGAATCTCCTCCATTCCATTCATCAACGTGGCATAACGTGGCTATACCAATAGCTGACGAGACTGCGGCGTCAACTTGCAGCTGCGCAAGTTGAATTAACTTGGTCGACTCTCGATTCTGCTTGGCACAGAAACCTATGACAATCAAGTTCTAACAGTCAAAACACTGTGAAGGGACGTATGAGGTGGTCTTCCATTTTTTGAGATTCAAGTTCCCTAGGTGCACCCAAACGCTGGAGCCGCTAGAATCCTCAATACGCAGGTCTTCTTCATGGGGCCCAAACGAAGGACTGGCTTCTCCAGTGCACAAACTCATCGAGGATGACCCCAGAACGGTGTTGTCAGGCCAAACACCAAAGCTTCTCTGGGCAGCTTTTGGTTCAATGGCAAATCGAGCAATCAAAGGGAAAGTATCTGTTTTACGGCAATAGGGTTATTGTCTATTGTGATATATTGTGATATTGGTTGCCATGACAAAGTGCGCACTGGCAGCATCACATTTGTTCTCGCCCATTGGGGTAGAGCTCCTGCCACAAACAACAGTGGCAACTGCCATTTCTCTGCGGAGTAGTCGTCTACGGTAAAGTTTAGGTGGAAAACGTGAACAAGAAGGAAGAGTGGATCCCAAATATTCTTCATTAGTCACGTTGCGGCACTCATGCCAGCCTGCTCTTGGAAAAGTGGTTCATCCAGGTTGCATCTGTCGCATTTATTCGGAGCGTGATTTTAGACCTTGGGTTCTTAAATGCATGGATCTTGCAACCTTTAAGCCAACCCATCAAGCCAACCCATCATTCACGGGTTCTTAAATGCATGCTTGGGTCAGCTTAAATCCATGGTTTCACCTTCAAGCCAACCCATCACCCAATGACCCTCCAACCCTGCTGACTGACCGCACAGCTCGCACGCCCTCCGGAGAGGTGGAGAGAACACCTCTCCAACTGTCGTCGTCCCCCTCGCTCTCCTCCATGAGAGTCTTCCGTTGCTCCAACCACCAATCGCGCTGAAGGTCAAGCTCAGGATCTCTTTGTGGCCCCTCCAGTCACAGGAGTGTGAAAATTTCCCTGGTGGGTCATTCACAGATCCAATTCCCCTGGTTGGGGGTTGGTTGAAGAAGGATCCCAACCCTTTTGGTCCATGTTCCCGGGCGACTGGATGGTCTCTCCGCATCTGGTGAAGCTACTGCGGCTACGAACCTCAACCAGGGAGAAGACTGGGTGTTCTCTTGGTTCAGAGTTGGTGGAGACGTACGACTCGATTGACAAACCCTTCTGCAAAGATCACAAAGAGGTTCAGACACTGGCTCTGGTCATTCTGCTCGGTTCTAAGGCGTGGATCAAAACAAAACGTTCCAAAAGGCTTGGATCAAAACAAAACGTTCCAAAAGGTATATACTCCATTCACAAGGCATTGGTATGAAGTAGACCGAGTAGACAGTTGATGAAGCCAATGAAGTTTTCCAGGCGGCCTTCCATGCTTGAGCTCGGGTTTGGGATGCTAAGACCCACTCCAGCCTCAGGCAAAAGTGGGGTGGTGAGCCAGCTAAGATTCAGATGTCATGAGTGGTTGGTCATTGGTACAAATCAGAAAAGGTCTTCGGGTCGATTCATGGAGAACTTCATAATGTAATACTGTAGCTACCAGAATGGACCTAATTCAGGATAGTCCCGCAGTTCCAGGGAGGGGGCAACTCAAGGTACTTCATGAATGTCAAAAGCTTCATCAACTCAAATAGAATCATCGGCCACGCCACTCTTCATTCTTGCTCCGCAAAGTGCTCAGAGTCTTAACGTTCTCATCTTGCCTTGGAGTAATGTTGCTTTGCAACATCAAGGTGTGTCTTCCAACTCTGCTCTCTCTTGAATGCTGACCTGGGTGTTGCTTTGAAACCTCTCAAGAAAAAGCAGGCAAACAGCCAATTGCTTACATGAGGCTTCTTCTGCATATCGCGCTGAAGTTTCCCGAGCTGCTCCTAGACATCAGACGAAAATACTAACGATCCATATTAATATATATATATATCATACAAAGACATAGACATACAATCATACAATGTCAACTAAAAAGAATTCATTCAACAGCAGGTATCCATCACAAGGAGATAGTCTGATAGATACCAAATCCAGATTCCTACCCATGACGAAGACTTGAAGTGGCTGAATGTCACAATGTCCATGGCGGCCATAATGCACAAGCAACTGCCCTGCTCTGTAGCAGCTTCCTTTTCTAAGAGAACGCACGCCAGAAGCCCCAAAACAGCGGATCATCATCTCACATTCAGGGCTTCGAACACCAAGATCAGCATCTCATTGGATCAAGTTTGTTGGGGGGTTACGTATTCCATTTTGATCACCCGCTTGTTCGGGCTTGACTGTTTCGAGCTTTCCTTCGACCAATGCTGGACCCCAACCCAGTCAAGTGGAGACTGATGCAAAATAAGAACATACCGAACATACCCAAACCTGGTGGCCATCTACAGAGTGCCGCCAACGATTGAATCCTTGCAAATGATCCTGGCCAAACACACAGTGTTAGATCCTGGTGGTCCCACAGCAGCTCCACAGCAGTTGCTCTCACAGCAGCTCCACCCGAGCGGGCTGACCCAGCGTCCTCCATGACTTTCTTCAGCTCATCCAGCGACCCATCATGCGACGTGCTATCAACAGATCCTCCTGTCCAAACTGTTGCAGGAGACCGATGGAAGTATTGACGGAGGAAGTTCTTGTTAGACTCACCCCGAAGCTGCCCGAGTTCCAGACATAGATTCTAGGAGAATAGTCCTTCAATTCCGGGTGTGGTGGATATACTTGATGTTCCAGGGAAGCAGGTTGCCCCCCTTGACTGAAATTGAAAGACTGGGACGCCAAATTCGCCGAAGGAATTGAAACATGTTGTTTGGGGCGAAGAAACAGTCACCTCTGGGGGGTCTGTGGAACAGGCCCCTGCTCAAGAGATGAATGATTATCTCACCCTGATGGAACCATAAACCAAGCAAGGATTTTCATGGAGGCTAGGCGATATAGTTCTCCTTATGGGCACGCAGCAGAGACCTAGGGAAACCTGCCAGTGAAAGACCCTCTGAAAGAAGGGAAATAGACCAGTCTACCCAGTTCTTTTTCTGGGTGTCTCCCTATTAAGATACACAACCTGAAATATCACTTCAGTGTCTCTTTGTCAGAAGTCGATTCGACTCTTCCACATGATTCGGATGGCCTCGCTCGACCGATTCTCAGGGCAGCCGACCGATGGAATCAGGGCAGCCCAACCGGCTCAACTCTCTTTCTTCCAACTTCCCAATCAGAAAAAAGGTTTCAAAAAAAATAGAAACATGACAGGACAAACAAGCAGCCGTGTTTCTAAAATTGTCCGCCCCCGCCTGATCATTGTTTGGTTTGGCACCACCTCCAAAAAAAGAAACACGCCCTGCCGATCTGCCAGTGCCGAGGTGCGAGAGTTCACTCGACCCGACGACCCACGGGGCTCATCCAAGAGACGAGGCCTCGGCGAGACCATCGACGGGGGTCCACGAGGGGCTATTGATGGCTGAGGTATCGGAGGAAAATGTTGGAAAAATGCAAAGAACTGAATTACAGTTCGATCGAAACTCTTGATCATGTCATCCAAACAGAATTGCAAAAGTGTGTCCTTTTGTCCCTTGACCCCTTGGGCGTATGCCATAGTATGCTTATTTTGTACCTCGCTGTCAGATTCCTTCCACCTCCGGTTGCGGGTTGGTGGCGGCGAGGCGTTGCATCCAGGCAGCAAGTTCAAAGCAACGTCGTCGAACATGAGTGGCCTGAGAATCGTCATGCTCGCTAGCATTCAAGACTTTCTCTGTCCAAGTCGAAGCCATGTATGTGGGTGTGTAATTTCAATAGGCCAGGGTACACACCAATGTTGAAGATGTTGTGTGTACTTTCACCTTCTTTGCAAATCCAAAAAACGTTCGATCCACAACCAATAGTTACTCGAAATGCCAGCCTCGCACCACGAGGCTAAAGAAACGGCGAGTCGAGGTTGGTTAATTGTGAAAGATGATTCAAACGGCCGCTGCACCTACATCACAAGTGCTCTCCAGTGCTTTTTCGGAACTGAGTGCAGCTGCTCGACGAGCGACGATTTCTCCACAGAGAGGCCCAGTTTTGGAGTGAAGTCTGCCGTTTTGGATGTTTCAGTCTGGAGTGAAAGCCTATTTTATGTGCCAATATGAACTGCGGAAGTTAATCCCCCCTCTTTAAAGTTGAAAGGCATCAATGATCTTAGAGAGTTAGAGAGTTTTGGCAGATGTCCTTTCAGTTGGCCTTCCACTGCTTGAGCCAACGGCCCGGCACATGGCCCCTGGTGTATCTGCCGTTGGTCCAACTTGTGACTTCTACAAGAAGCAACCTTCCAGCACAGTCCAATTCTACAAGGGTCTCTTCACTGGCACTGCGCATTCACCTCTGCTTTGAAAGCTGGAAGCAAGTGTCGTCCCGTGCAAGTACCGAAATGGGTTCCGCAGTTGACAACAGGCTACAAAGACACGCAACATGGAGCCTGTATCAAGAAGCCACCTTAAGCAAACGAGCGAGTTGTCTGACTGTATTGGTTTCACGTTGAGCATAGGAGACTCAATGTTTGCCCTTGCACCGCAATTAACTCTGCTTGCAGGTGAAAGCCTTTGATTAAGCCACTGGATCAGCAGCAAAACACGAATTTGAAGTCGCATGCAAATACATCTCTTCTCGTGCAAGTGCTTGGCTACAAAGATCGATGTCATGGGGCAAACGCAGCTGCAGCTGCTCTACCATTTGCGTTAGCAAACTGGTTTCCAGGAGCCGGGCATTAGATTCCTGGAACCATCATACGAGATCAGCACTGAGAGGTTTCATGAAAGCTCGATTCTTAATCAACCTGTCCACAACAAGTGTACACCACACCTTTCAAAGATGCCAAAGGAAGGTCTCAAAACCAACTTCTTGAGCAAATCAAAGAGCACAATATTAATTGCGTATCTTGAACACAAGCTACCCTCAAAGCACTGAACAACCACGCCTAAGAACCTCCAGTGATCTTGGATACTAAAGGAATGCCGGAAGCCGCAGCTCTGCTGCAGGCGGCCAATGACCTCATCGGCCCCCAGTTTTGGAGAGCCGCTTCGTATTGTAGTCAGCTGCCAAGGACTTCAGAGGATCTCCGCGCACGCTGCTTCTCCTCCGAAGGGACACGTAGGGCTGGAGACTCGATCCCAAGGACAGCCCGAGTCTCAGACACCAAAAGCTTGAAATCATCACAAACATTTGGGAGCGGTCTTTCAATAACCCCTCGGGTCGGGGAAATGCATCACGCCTGGTGCGGGGCTGACTCTGCTCTTCATCCTCCCCGTTGGGATAGAGGTCTACCATTAATAGTTTACCTTGGAAGCGTAAGCCAAGACAAAGCTCTACGAGCAACGGGCAGCACCTTGGTGCATCTTCTTGTCATTCTTCGTCATAAATGCAAATAAAAATGGCCTGGTCTTGCCTGCCAAGAAGCGCTGCTCCCCCCAAACTTTCTTCAAGCTTGCGAAGCTCTTCCGTCGCTCCTAGGGCGCTCCGGGCTGCGGGAGGCGTGTGCAAGGGGCAAGGGGAGGCACGCTCTGAAAAGCGCTCAGGTTGCATCGAACTCATAGGTCTGAGAAGCCCCACATCAAAGCTGAGGCAAGAGGTATTGCTCACAGTGGAATAACGTGGGGGCCGGTCTCGAGGTGGCGTCGAGGGCAGGCCCGGTCTGGCCTCAAGCAGAACAAAAGCATTCAATTTTAAGCAACTTCAAAACATCAACACAAGGACAAACACAACGGCACTCTGTGTGTGTGCATGCGTCCACATCGTGAATTAGGCATCCACCAATTCAATAGACACATTATTGGACCAGATGTGGTCACCTCCCGAAGTTGCTCCCCTGCCTCGTCATAGTAGTTGTCTTGCTGCGCCCTGAGCCGAAAAAGACTCGACTCGACCGCAATGTCCCACAGTTATCAGCAAATCTAGAGTCATAGGATTGGTTCAAGGGAAGATCCATCGGTGACCATGGTTTTCACCACCAACTATGAGTTTTTTCTGTGGATTTCCCTTAAACCAATTCTGGGAAGTAAGGATGAGTGAGGAATGGTTAGTTCCCGCACGCAAATGCCAGGTCACAAGCGGCAGTTGTGCAGGAGTTTCAACATCTCTTCCCGCGTCTCATTTTGCCTGTTCGAAGGCGAGACCCCTTCAACAGACGAGAATGCATCTCGAACAAGTAGTTTGCTTCTGGCCTTTGTGCTTACATGAGTGAATTCGTGCATCACAGGCTTCCTCATGATACTTTGGAAGGCAACCACAAGCCATGGTTTCCAGGTCACCCAAACCCACAACATGCTTGCTGTGTGGACAAGGCATTGCTCGGCCTTTCTGCCATTTGCTGCTCCAGCTTCAAGACCCTCTCCTGCATCTCTCGATATTGACTCCAGCTTGGTCCTGGCAGAAGTGATCCTCATGATAATTCCCCCTAGAGTTGGATATCAAGTGAACAAAGGACTTTTAATGGTGTGATTGTATTTAAAGAAAATAATATTGATAAAGCTGTTTGCGATGGTCATCTACATTTGGGTCTACAAGCTCTACAAAGTTACCAAATTACAAGAAAAATTGACGTTTACTAACTAAAGTATCTCAACTACAGTTTACCACAGTTCACCGTGAGGCAAAGCAGACCATTTTCTTGGGGTCATCTCCATTGAGAACGCACAAACCACGAAACAGCCCGGTCATTACTGTTCTCGCCTGCGTCCAGCTCGGTCGGGCAGGCAGTCGAGCGGGCGTCATCCTCAACAAGGCGAAATGGGCAGTCGGAAGAGAGGAATGGCACCGAAGCAAAGGAATTGCATACCCAAGGTTAGAAGTAGTACCAGGACAAACTGAAGGACCAAAAAATGAATGAATTAATATAAATTACACGTTCTACTTCAAGGCGTCAAGAAGTAGAACCTCGGTCTCGGTGAAGACCATCCGCATCAATCCGCTTTTGTTAGAGTCAAAACGTCGTCCGCCATGAGACGCATAGACGGAAAAACACTGGAACGCATCGTTCCACCGAGAAAAACACTGCTGTCGCCTCGACAGTAGATCCAGCGAGCGACAGTCTGGGCTGCCTCGCACCGACGGTCGAGTCCAGCAGAGTCCAAACCGCTTCGACTGGGTACGCCTCCGTCTCCGACTTGCTGCACTGGAAACTGTATCCGCTTGTTTTGGTGTGGTCTGCTGATGGTCTGCTGATCTGCTGAGAGTTTTTGTTGAGACGTCATGACTTCCTGGAAGGGAACAAGGGGATTTCTGGAGGAGTGGAAATGCCCATATCACTAGACACAGGTTTTGATGGACCGTTGGACCGCTAAAGAGTTGTTGGGATTAGTTTGGGACTTGGCTTGACGATGATCCGTCATGACCCAAATCGTACCTTGAAGTTGGTGAATTGCGGCAAGGCGAGGCAACATCAGCAATGAGATCCTTGCCAAAACGTTGGTCCTGCAAACATGGCTGAGGTGAGACTGTTCCAAGTTGCAACAAGCATGTTTCTCAGTAGGCACTCTTTCCGATCCCCACCTCCTCTGACTCTGTTCTCAACTTCTTGTCCTCCTAAGAGCATTTGATCTACCAGTGGCTGAGTATCTTGCTGGCACGCGTTGCACAGAAAATGCTCAGCCAGGGACCAAATCCTTCTTCATTCGCCTGATCTCCTCTTCATATTGCGCCCGAGTCTCAGCCTCTCTTCGGTCAGCTTCTGCCTTGAGCTGAGCTTCTCTTTTCGCAGCCTGTGCTTTCATCTCTGCCTGCTCAGATGAGGACCAACATGGATGGGGCACTGGATTCCACGCCATCCAGGCGCGTTTCCTTTACTGCAAGTTGGTTCAAGCTGCAGGTTTGTGCTGGAAAACAAGTTGCAAAGGTGTTTTGGTATACAGCAGGCCTCATAGGCAGCCTTTTCTTCCAGCTCTCTTTGGTGTTCTTCTTCCAACTTCTTGATTTGCGCGAGTCTTTCTTCCTCTTGCTTCCGCATTTCCTCTTCATGCTTCTTCTGTTCCTCCTCGCGCTTCCTCTGCTCTTCCTCCGCCCGCTTCCTTTCCTCTGCTCCGTGCGAAGCATGAAAGGAAGAAAGACAAAGCAATGACTCTGACCCATCACTTTCCTGTTCCAAAACCCATCAAATCGTCCTTCTTTCTCTCTTTCCACCCACCAAAATGCCTAAATCATCTTCAAGAGATTCCTCTTCAACATGGTGGCAGGGAGGTCTTCTCCCACCGGAGGTCTTCGCCCCCCCCTTCACCGGTCGTTCACCACCTCCCGCCTCGGCCGCACGGCGCTCCTCTTCTCGCCGTCGCTCAGCCTGGAGACTGGGCGAACGTGGAGCTCCCATTCAGTCAGCCAAAGGACTTGAGGATACAACGACCAAAACAACGACGCGACAACCCCGGGGGTGGCCAGACGCATGTTGTGTGGGAAGGGCGCGCTTCCACCGTCGGTCCCGCTCGCCGAACCCGGTCTTGGAAGGGGCTCCTCGCGTCCGCGCCTCGCGGCGCACCGCCTCGGCGGCCAGTCTTTGACGGGCTGCGTTGGCCAGAGGGATGAGCCTGGGGCGTGGGAGCCAAAAGATCATGTTGCGGATTGGTGGCAGGGTGGGTGGGTTGGGGTTTTGGTTGGCCTAAGGATCCGCTCTTTTCGGTCCATGTTCCAGGCCTATATGGTTGGTACATGTTGGTACAAACCTGGGACGGGTGGACTATGACTTCTAGAACTCCAATTCGAAAGGTTTGGCCACAATATGCCACCAGTGCCCAGCCTCTTGTGCAAGAGCCATGCCACGGAGAAGGCGTTGGCTAGCTTTCTCTGCCGAGCGTCCCTGACCTTCAGGGAAGATTCCACCGAGATGTTGGACAGAAAGGCATCATGTTGGCAACACGAATGTCTTTGGCTTGCAGTTTTGTACTACAACGGCTCCAGGGTCTGAAGCAAGAAAGACATGGAGCGACCAGTGACTGGAAGAACCTCCTGAAGACTTGACATCGCTTGGGCAAGAGCCTTCACTTTATATATATATATATATATATTCATGGACATGTGAAGCGAGAAGATGGTGGCCAAGGTCTGGGTCTTGAAGGAGAAAATACACTAGTTGATGGCTCCTGGAAGACCATGAAATCCTGGACAAGCAGGTCGTAACACCACTTCCGTTAATGACTCGGAGAGAATGCATGGGTGCGATGGGTGTGTATTGAAATAGCCCCCCGCAGTTCGAAGGGAAGTAGACCAAGACTCATTGGTTGAGGGTCTCCCTATCAAAATACACATTAATTACCAGCTAAGCCTTATTCTATATTTGGGGTGAAGCTGGAATTCCTCAACTTTTGGCTTCGCTGGTAAATGATCGTTTGAGATCTCGGCCCTTTCATTCGAAGAACCCTGAGGCTTCCACCTCCGATATCTACCGACAAACCTTCCTTCAGCATGCACCTAAACGTCAGCTTTCTAAATCCGAATCATCAGGATCTGAATGATTCAGGTTAACAGCGTTCATTGATCTTCATTGATTTTCATTGATCTTCTTTGATTTTCATTGATGTTCATTGTCTAGAACAGTCAGTTTTCATTGATCTTCATTGATCTACTGGCTTTCATTCGGTGGAATCTTGCTCTGAAGAAGCTTGTCCTGCCCATGACATCTGAGCAACTATTTTCCCACTGCCCATGACATCTCGCCTTCTTCATGAAGACTGTTGAGGCATAAGCGGCCGTGCCCCACACACGCCAGCGCCGCTGGGCAGCCAAGGCACGCAAGCGCAGCTTTTCCCTCGCGAAGCGACGAACTCGAAGCTCCCGAAGCAATGAGACACACTGAGACACTGAGACAGAGTTCGCAAACATGTTTTTTGTTTCACATCAACAAGTGTTAACAGGTCGCGGTTGTCACACATGATTGGCGTTGCAGGTGTTTCAGAGGATCCAGATCGCCGTCTTGTTGTGCCAAAGCGATGTTCCTCTACACCGACAGGCGGGGGTGGGACGTCGGTTTGGGGCTTCGTCCAGTTCCATCCCACGTCACCCAGAGGGACAGACAGACCTGCCTCGCTGCCAACAGCATAGGCTGCAGCCGACCCACCAGCAACGCCCGGGTGCACAAGGTCCGCAAGGCGCGTGCCGTGCGCAGCTCCGCCAGGAACCTGCAGGGTGAGTAGTTGGTATAGTCCAACTTACATGATGCGTTTTTATGCGTTTTGTTGCATGAAACTGTTAGTATAGTGCAATGTTTTGGGACTCTGTTGTCCTGATTTCACATCAGACAGGCCAACATCGATATTCTCCCCTTAGAAATGTGGGCCGTTTTTGTCACCCCCCCCCCCGAACGGAATGGTTTAAGTTCGTCTTCTCCTTCGTGTGACCCAGGGTTCGTGTACTGGCTCCTCGAGTGGTCAGGGATCGCAGTTCGTCCGGACTTGGGCCGTTGGCCAAAAGCGACGGCCGTGACGTTCGTAGCGATGGCCTGCACCTAGTAGCTTCTAGCTACGAACGTAGCTTCTTGTTAATCTCATCACGCGAAAAGCACAGAAGCCACGGTGGAAGCCGGCTTAGCACATCGGCTTAGCACGTCGCCTCGGCAGATAGAGGCACAGCTGGATGGCGTTCTTGGCGCGAACCCATTTCTTGCGAATGATGCTGTGCACGATGGCCTTCAAGCGCTCAGGATCTGCCTCGGCACCTGAAAACAGCGAGAAAAGAGACCAGCTTCTGTTTCACACATTATCTATTTTATATCATATTTGTACCGTTCTTAGACAACAATCTTGGACATAGGCGTATATATGCGTATATGCTCTTTAAGTATCTCGAAGGGTATGAGCTCACAAACAAATACCACTGGTTGAGCCCCAGCCAAGAGTACTGGTGCCGATGGAAAGGTGCTTTGAGATGCTTTGAGGTAAGCTCAATCCCTTGAGGTCCGTGGCTGATGTTCTTCGAGCGGAGCATGCTCCGGCTCCAAGGATCCAGCACGGATGGAACAGCAGAGCGATGCAAACTGGCATAGAAGCGCTTCGCACGATGCTTCTGGAAGACACAAAGCGCCGTGTTGAGCGTAAAGACCCCTTGTCCCGATCCCCCTAACTACCTCAGCTCTCATGTATCCCAAACTCTTCGAGTGACTGGCTCGCTGAACCGTTCGAACTGCCAAAACACCTGACAGCCGAGCCGCCTTCGGATCGCATGTCCTCCAAGGCTTTCAGCTGCCCCGCTTTCAAGAAGAGACGTGACATGCCCAAGGCCCATTCCTCCAAGAGAAGAGGACGTGCTGCGGGGAACCATCGTGGATCATCATGTCTTGCGAGTTGGGTGTCACCATGATCTGTGATTGGGTCTTTCCCATCGACCAATCCCTCACACCGAGTCACACGGTCGGTTCCCCGGCCCACCGGTGGCCCCGGAGACCGCGCCTGCTCAGGAACCTCATAGGCCAACATCAGAGCTTCGATGAAGGTTCGCATGCCATAGCGCTGGAAGCTCTCGGGCAGCAGATCTCCTAGGCCGTGTCGCGCGCGACCGTCCGTTTGGTCTTCCGACGACGGGAGCGTGCGGTCTTCGTTTCTGTTCGGTCGGACAGGTCACGGAATGGTCGGAGAGGGACATTCAGACCTTTGACCAGGTTGGACAGGCAGAACTCAAAACACGTCGCGTTTCGTGTCTACAAAGCCCGTCATCACCCAACAAATTTTAAAGACTTCATATATTGGGTAGATGAACACAAGTATCCCATTCCCTGATGATGGTTAGTAAAGGCCTTTCGCTATAATTGTTTGCCAACTGTTACAGGTAATAGGACACCCGGATTATAATATACACCAATTGATAGACCAAGCGGCGGAACCGTTGCACGATCGTATTGAAGGGGCTGCGGTTTGGATAGCCGTCGTGCATGATCTTCACCAATTCGATCGTGCCACACCTCAATAGTTGCTGTTCCACTAGTGAGTCGCTAGTCACTGGTGGCAATTGGGAAGAAGGAAGGGATCTTTTGAAGGCGACGGTGTGTACTACTGGACTCCTTCCCAACGCAGCCACAGCTTGGTCACTTATACGTTGGAACTATTTCAGTCACTGCCACATTCGAAGACTGACAGTTTCTGGGCCAAAAGCCCTGTCCTGATAGCCAACATACATTCAAAAGCCTGAATCTCGTTCAAACCCCCTTCATCATTGCCATCCCACACCCTCACACCAAAGGACACTTGCTGTATTGACTCCTCGAAAGCTTCTCCGAGCTGCCCCGGAGAAAGCACGCTTCTCTGGGGCACCCGACTGGACCAGCTGGTCCAAGACCAAGGTCTGGCTGAAGATCGCAGGCTTTTGAAACTCATTCGGCTTAAAGCAACCTAATCATCGACGCCCTCCCGATATGGCTCCCGGCTTCGGACGAGGCTCTCTCCGAACGGAGCTGACGAACGACGGAGGAAGGACCAGGAGGAAAAACCAAACGGGTCTCCGAGTGGAGAAAAAAGGGAAAAGGGAAACCACGGGAACATGCGACCCTCCGGTGTTCGCCAAGATCGCACTCATTGCGAGGACAGCGAGGACAGCGATCCATCCGAATTTCGGGCGGAACTCTGGGTGAACTGCGGGTGAACCTGGTGATGGAATGGCGGTTGATTGGTCTCAAACACTTGGCGGTGTGAAAACCACCTCTTTCCAAACCACCCCCTTCATCTTGAAGGCATGCCAGTTCCAGGAGTTCAATGCCTGCTACTCTCCCACGTTATGTGCAGCGCTGCCTTCCACACACAAACCGGCATCTGTCTTCTTTCCAAGAGACGAATGTAGTGTAGGTGGCAGGTGTTGAGCGTCTCCAACAGATTTTCCAGATCGGCACAATACTTCTTGCTGATCGACCTGAATGGCACCTGCGTCCGGCGGTCTGGCGGACGACGAACGACGGACGCATGCCATGACGAAAGGACCTTTGTACTGTGAAGATGTTTGTGCATTGAGAGGACGAATGAGAAGCTGAGAAGCTTGTGATCGGTGACGGCGTCGTTTCCGATATCGGAAAGAAACTTCCACAGAGGCCTTAGAGCATCAAATCTGATACATGTCTCTGCATCTCACCGAACTCACGGCAGGAGCAGGTTCCGGAACACGGGGAGACCCACGCCTTGCCAGCATCCGCTTCTCCAAGGGAGGCAACGAAATCGAAGCTGGAGGTACCTCAAAGGCAGGCGCAGGAGGAGGTAGGTTTGTCTCCACCAGAAGGTCTTGCTATAGTAGTTGGGCTTGCATATAGCCAGCACCTGTATCGGTTTCAATGTCATTGAGGATGATCACATGCTCATTGCATCCCAATTGCAAATCAAATCCTCGCATTCTGCCAGAAGCCTGTCGTTGTTCCTTGGTTGTAGGCCGGAAGAGCTCTGTCAGTTCGTTGCACGAGGAAATGGATTCAGCACATGCAAAGGAATTCTTGCAAAAATGAGATGTGTCCCTTCTTTGTATAGCAGAATATGCAGCATGAGCATGTAAAAACAAACCAAAGATGTCTTTCAGTGGCCTTCCGTTTCATGTTCAGCCTCCCGGCGAGCTTCAAGAGGGTGTGTATGAAATGTCCAACAAACCAGTGCAAGAACTGGCCAACCAAGTGCTCAATGCAGGTACATTGCGCACTGTGAACTGTGAACTGTGAGCTAAGATGGTCCCATATTTGCTTAGACCCTCCTAAATTTGGCGATGTTGCTCTCCTCCGATCATGCTCGGTTTGCTGCAGCTGAAGGTCTTGTCCAACCAGCCCTTCGTGTTATATTCCACCATGCCCGCATAATGCTTGACCACGAAGCCCTGCAGAATGCCGTCCGGAGGCTTCGCGGAAAACTCACGAGTTCCAAGTGTGCTATAGACTGATTTCTTCACGGAACGTCTCAGATCCATCAACCCCTTCTCGCAAACTCGCCCAATCGAGAAAGCTGCGCACCAGACCTCCTGAGTTTTACACCGTTCACACCTGCACCAGTCAATACATGTCAATACAAAACATTCCCACTTACAGTAAAACGCAACAAAACCTCGCGAATCCACATGCTTCTTTGTCTAACTTGTGTACCCAAAACTGCCCTTTTCGGGTCCCACTCTTGTGCAAAGGTGGTCTTCGCAGCCCACCAGCTTTTGCAGAAAAGACGGTCTTGGTCACCTTATGTTTAAAGAAAAGCAAAAAGCAACGGAGCCGATTCGCTGCACTTCGTCCGGACAGTGATGGATCTCATGTTCGGACAGTGACGTCACACTCCCCAGGTCCATCACCGACGTCCCCTGCAGGTCATTAGTGTCCCCACTTCCCAGCAGTGTCGACGAGCCGACGAGCCGTGGTGATATGGGCGGTGGTGATGGGTGCCCCCCCCCGCCGTCTTCGCACATCGGCATCGCTCCCGTTCGTGGAAGTCTAGGTGGGTCAGGTGCGGTTAGGTAGGTTCCGTTTTCGGGTCGTGGAAGGTGGTAGGGTCCGGGTGCTCTCCTCGTTCATGGCCAGGGAGGTGCCAGCTTTGGAGCCACGCTTGTTGGACATCTTCAAAGGTCGAAGCACTTCCTTGCGCTGCACGTCCTAGCGGACGTAGAGGTGGTAGAGGCACAAGAGGCACAAGGTTTGTTGGTGAAAGACTTTATTTGTGTTACTTCTTAGTCTAGCTTGCATGGCTAAGAATGACTCTGGTCGACTCTTCTTTTTTAGTTCACATGCGAACCGAACCGAAAGGCCACTCAGCCACTCAGCTCTCGATTCTCCCAAGCAGGATCTGGTCGACTTTCGAACCAAACGAACCCAGGTGAAAAGCTCAGCTTTCGACCATACTTCTTTTCGATGCATACTTCTGTTGGCTTTCCAAATGACGGTGACAGGTCCTTCTGCGAATCCTCCACGGTCTTCTGGCAGAAGCCTTCGTCAGAGGTCTTCTCGAATCCTGCAACAGGATTCGAAGGAGAGAGGTGGGTATCGCACCTGGTCGCCAGAACATACTGATGGGACACCTCGTCGGAGGGAAGATGTCGCGAGTCAACCTCATGAAGTTACGAAAGGACGATGATGACTGAGAAGCTTGTCAATGCGTACCCGCAGTCAGTCTTTTTCCCAAGAGTCACCTAAAAAGACCTGACTGATTGGAAGTCGCACCTTGGAAAAGCAACTGGGAAAGATGAGATGGTGCTCATGACTCCTTCGCAGATTTCGCAGCACTTGCACCGCCCAACCCAGCATCCAACCCACCACCCACGACGCACGACAGCCTTTCGCGAGCTGCTGGGAGTATTCATCCAGGGTCTTGAAGGTTTGCACAATGGCAGACACCACCTGATTGTTTTCACGAAACGCTGATAAGAGGACCCCCCGGTAGTAGCCAAACGGAGTCATGTCCACCAGGACTGCGTCTATTTGTTGACCATACTTGGAGTCATACCAAGAGTAAGAGCACAAAAAACAATCCATGCAACAAGAATCAAACAAAACAGCGTCCAAAGAGAAAGAGTAGTGGGACTTGAGAATAATCACAATTCTTTAAACGCCCTTGAGATACTCCAGTTTTATCATGCATTTTCCATGTTTTTCTCGTTTTGAACCAAAAGAACATTGAAAAACATCCATGAAAAGCCACTGGTTTTGCAGCCACTCACTCGTCGGACTGGGTGCCCCGAACGGGTGTGGAGTCCGGCAGCTCCAGGCCGATCCATGGCAAGCCCTGGCGGCAGAAAGCAGTGCTTCAGCAGTGCGATTCGTCGCTGCTCCAACAGGGCGCTCAAACACCGGGGTGCTCATCTTGCCCCAAAAAAGACTGGGCCATCTTGGCCAAGACGTGGCCCAACGATCCTGCCCCTACCAGTTCTGCCCCTACGATCTTACGCATGACACAGACTAGGCTCACGTGAGCGCACACGCTCGACCCGTCATCTCTCCCGAACTCCTAGATCTCTCCCGTGGCGATGGACGGCGTCGACGTCCCGTCCTCGCGCTTGTAGAGATCCTGCTCAGCCACCAAGACATTCCTCGGGAGCACCGGCACGGAAGAGCATGGCACTCGGCATCCGGAGGTCGACGAAATTGAGCAGATTCTTCAAGTTCCGAAGAAAAAAACAAAAGTAACATCAGCTTCTTTGCGATTGGGTTGGGTTTCATGGATCCTGTGACCTGTCCAAGAAAACAAGTCTTTGAAACGGCAGGGTCATCGTTCTTCGGCCTGGTTTTGGTGTCGAAACTTGAGGCCGGCGGATCGGTGAACCCATGACTGGAGGCAGAAAAAAGAAACACTGAGAGTCCTCGAACGTGCACGCTGGAGGCCGGCGATGTGGTTGTGGTCGAACGTGCGCGAGTGCATGGGATGTACAACCACGTTTAAAAAATATAAGAAAGAACTTCCTCTTGATCGCGCCTGTACACACCATGTAACGGGAAAAGTTCGGCTTTGCTTTTCGTTGTGTTCCTGGAATGGAGGGTCATGTGATGTGTCTCACCCGAGGTCTGAAGACATGCGAAGATTCAGCAGTAGCATATGCCCATTCAATGGACCCCATGGCGTTCATCCCATGAGGTGCAGACCTTGTGATCACAGCTTCTCTGGTTGATCGGTTTATCCCGTTATCAGTTATCGCCATGTCATCGCCCACATCGAGGTTGTCAACGAATCTGAATGCCATTGCAGCTTCTCCACAAAGTACTGCTGCAATCGCTCATTGGCCAAATTGATACAGAGCTGCTCGAAGGAGTTGCCTCAATTGGCACAACGGCGAGCAACAATCATCGAGGAATCGTTCTTGAAGCTTGTTTCAAACAAAGAACGAAATGGATAAGGTGTGATTCATCGCGATGGCAACTTAGAAGCATTCTGAGAGCAATAAAGGTCAACCCACAATGGTTGCACAATCGAATGGTCTGTTGCAGTTGGATTCTTCGACTTGTCTTCTACCTGACTGAAACTCCAAAGTGGCCTTTCTGTCAATCTACACACGAGGCATTTCCCCAAAAGCATTGTGCCTTCAGACAGGTTGGTTGAGTCGCGGACCAAAGAAAGAATGAGACGGTCCCCGGCGATGTCGAATCCCCAGGTGAAGCATTCTTTGTCGTCATGTTAGGAGTGGGATGGACGACAGCGGGCCTGCATTGGAAGTGATGTTGAAACTGTTTTTGTTGCATTATAGTTACTAGGACGCTACGAACGCGGCTCCTGGCATCGCTACGAACGGAGCAAGAACGCTACTAGTTACTAGGGGCTCCTGGCCGTACTACTAGGAGCGATCGGACGCCACGAGCGGAACAACAAGCTACTATAGTTACTAGTTACTAGCCCATCCCTTTCCGTGTCAGCGCTGCCGTGTCTGTCGTCGCGTCGGCGTTCCGCCGGGGCACGCTGCAGGCGCTCGAAGCCATAGATGTCCAAGATGCCGATCTGGTACCACTTTTCGTCCTCCCATGCCCATGCCCACCATACCCAAGAACCCTCCGGAAGCCCAAAACACCCAAAAAAGAAAACATGCTGAGGATGAAGCTGGCCGCCAAACGCACAAAAGACTGGCCACCATGTGCCAACAGCCACTGGCCACCGTGATCCCTTGATTCTCTACCTCATCCATTCGGAAATCTCCTCCTCCGGCAGACGGCGCCATTCACCAAAGGAACCTTCAGAAAGGTCTGCAGTCGTGCTCATCCAACGAATCCCTTGTGGTCTTTGCTTCCAACCAAAGGCACGCAACACAAAACACCGCAAATGACTTCTGAACACCTTCGTTTAGCCACGTTGGCAAGTCTGGTGGGCGTTCAGTTCGCGGCATGGCCCATCTACTTACCGGGTGAGGAAACGTTTTTCACCTCATAGTTCATTGGTATAATTCTACATACGCTACATATTATAATTATTCATACTTGACAAAGGGTAACAACTAGCTGTGGCCCCTCACATGCCTCTGGGATCAAAACCTTATATACATCTCCTGCATTCACTTCCCATAGATCAACATAGTCAAGGTCTTGAAACGATACTCTGCCCCGCCTTGATCTACCTTCTCTGAGGCCCGCACTGTTGATCCGCTGCACCAAGCGCTCGAAGAGACGCTTGTACAATGCTTTGATCAAGCTGTGCAAGGCATGGCGAAATTGCGACGTGGTCCGCGGCACCTGCGCGCATGGTTGCCAGGCGCCGAGCGTTGCCACGCATTCTGCGGCTTCTTCAGAGCTTGCAGGCACAGCAGCGAAAAGGGGATAGCTTTGTTGGTCTTCTGGGCCAAGTACATGATCGAACATCTGGAAAAACAAGGGCGCTCTTTCATGCGATTCTGTAACAGTCTTCCTTCATCTATCATACAGGCATCCTTGATCTTAGTGCTGCAATTGACCGCGTCAGGAAACTAGAGTTGATAGAGAAGAAATCCTACATTGCATACCAGGTGTTCCATCCCCAATTCATGTTGAGGATAAGGCAGTTATATCCCATTGACCTTTCAAAGCTTCGCTGGGTTGGTGCAATGCGCTTTCCATGGAGTCATCTGCTGATCCCAAGCAGGGTCGTTCGTTTAGCTAGAGGAAAGGTGACCAGGTGGATGGTCAACAAGAAGTCTTGTTCTGGAGGTTCAAGACTGGAAAAACTTCCTTCAGGAAAAAAAACAAAAACTCCACAACTTCTCTCACTTTTGCAAAAAGCACGGGATGAAATGAAGATCAACGGAAGGGTGTTCTGCACACTCAACAATCTCTACTGAACACCGACTGAGAAATAAGGTGTGGAAACGGTGCCTTTGACTGACTCGTGGTTGGTCATGTGCAAAGTCATTTTTCGAAGGAGATGTATACAGTATACAAATGGTCTCACAGAAGCACACCATTGAAACACAAGACCACCCAAAAAACAGAAGCTCTTTGAAAAGCCTTTGTTGGCCATCAGACGAGAAGACTTCAAGTACAGTATTACACCCATCCTGGAATAGATAGAAAATGAACAAACAGAGCCCAGGATTGTTCCCCTTTTCCCCATAATTCACTTTAGAATTATGACCCAAACCTGCAATGCAGCTCTGGGCAAGCTGCCCCTCCGTCCCAGACCGCCTCGTGGAGCGACTCCCGCCCCGCGTGCGTCACGCGCACGCGGCGCCGGCGCAGCGCTCCGCCCAGCTCGTCGGAGTCCATGCCCAGCAGGGCGGAGGCCTGCAGAAGCTCGGGTGTCGGTGACGAGTTTCGATCACAAGTCATGTCAAAAGGAGTCATGACCATCAGGAGATCAAAACCATCATGAAGGTAACCACGACCAACGACCATGGTTCAAATGACCGCATCTGCCCATAGGAATGAAAGAAAAGAACCAGGACCAGGACCATGGTTCAAACGGCACATCTGCTCGTTCATCAAACCAACGACAAGCCAATCAAACGACATGACATTCCAATCATTTCCAATCAAACCGAGCCAGACGCCTTTGGTGGACGCCATGCGTGGCATCCCTCCGAGCCAGACGCCTTGTTCAAGATCTCTTGGTCCAACTGCACTGTTGCCGCCTCGTCCCCTCGCCAGTGTGCAGGGCTCGGGTTTTTTTCGGTTCCACTGGGAAGACGAGAAGTGCAGTATTGCGGTGTGTAGAAGCGGTGTAGAAGCGAAGAAATGGATGAATCATTCTTTAATCATTCTTTATCCTGATGTATCATGTATCATGATACACACCTCTGCGTTTCACAGGTGCACACAGCAACCTCCAAGCGACAGCAACCAACAAGCGCCACGCTGTCGCGCACCTCTCCCCGGCGGCTCGGCCGTGAGCTCCACACGACGCGGGCGGCTGACGCGTGCCTTCGTCCTTCTCGCCGTTGGAGAGGTCGCCCAAGTGAACCAAACCCGCCAAGACCTGCCGTGTCTGACGCACGGGTCCGGAAAAGGAACTTCCCTGACCTTGGTGGTGCCAAAAAAGATCCAATGGATGGTCTTTGGACTCTGTAGGGAATATGGAAAGGACTCCCAAGTAAATGAGATTGAAGTTTCATCTTGTTTAGACCAGGAAAGGTTTTAGGGACTATATCTGCCTCAAGGAAACATCCAGCACCAGTCGGTGCCTGCAGGAGGATGGACAATCATTGGGTCGTTGTCAGGATTTCTTCCAAAAGGAAACCAAGAGTCATTGGAAGAAGAAGAAGAAGAGGAGAGGTGGTCAGTGAGTCAGGGCCCCTTCAAAAAGTCAGGGCCCTCTTTCGAGAAGCCGTAGCTTCGCTTCGCACTTCCCCGTCGCTTCGCACTTCCTTTCGCTCCGCCTGAAAGATCTTGTCGATCTCGTCCCCGCTGAATCCCACGGTCGAAAGGGCTCCGCACAGCTTGTGGAAAAGCTTCGCATCGCGGTCCTACGCGACTCAACCCGGCCGTGGCCAACCCGGCCGTGGCCGATCTGGGGGCGGTCTCAAAGAGTCCAAAAAAAAGAATTAGAAAGCAGTCGAAGTTAGCTATCTGAAGTTCTCGTTCGTACTTTGATTGGATTTGTTTCGGTGAAATAAAATGTCTCAAAAATGTCTCTACTTTGTTGAAGGTCATCCAAAACTCTACAAACTCAAGGAAAGGGAAGAGACTTTTTTGGAACCGAAGAGTTCTGCGGCAACAAACCCGCCCGAAGAGGTTGGTCCTGGAATTGTGAATGCCACTTCTGGTCGTCAGCAAGATCCTCCTGGCACGATGATCTGTGATGAGTTGGCACCCGGGAAAATAGACCCTTTAGAAAATGGAGCACGTGCTTGAGCAACCTCTAATCCAACCTAAGAATCCTTCTTTCTGATCAAGATACATCACCTTCCAGCAGCATCATCATCATCATCATCGCCATCAGGTGCCCGGTGCCGAAAGAAACACCCCGCCTGAGCATCACTGGCCAGGAGTAGGTAGAGCTTCTCTCGCTCGAGGTGCAGTTGCGAAAGCTTCTCATCCGGTAAGCCTCGCAACATCTCCTCAGCGATGTCGTCAGTCCGGTGGCTCTGCGCTGTGCAGTTGGCTCTGCACTTGGGCGCGGTAGTGACCCGGCTTGAATCATTTAGTAGACTCTCACAACCAAGGGACAGGGAAACAACAATATAAAACACCCAAGTGGGAAACAGATGGAATCTTCCAGCAGCGTGCTTGCACATCTTGCTCTTTGACAGATCCCATAGTCATTCCCACTGGAAAAGGTGCCATGAAAACAGAGTCCTGAAAGAACTTAGAGGTTGATCGTACACCAATCTATGTATGTGACTGATACATGTGTGTGTGACCCAAAAATGCTTGAAAGAGGACACTGTTCAAAAACTCTTGCGTAGGCGAGCTAATATCACCGGTTGTGACTGGTCAGATCGGAGACACAGGCCCCCCATGCGAGCCTCATCTCAAAAGTGGAAAGCAGCTTCTGGGAAACACAAGTCCAACTCCAATAGAATCATAAAAGCTCCGGACGAAAACTTTGAGAGCCAGTGAAAACTTCGACGCGCTAAACATCTTAGGATCTTGGTGAACTGCTTTCACCCACCTCCGAATCCTTTCCCTCACACTTCGTCTTGAAAAAAAAACACCCAGCGGCATAGAAGCAGTGATAGGTGCGTTCGCGACGAGCATGGACCACGACCCTGGAGCTCTCCAGCAAGTAGGTCGTGACCTCGGATGACATGAAATCACTCGTGGCTTCCCAGCCCAGGGAGCTGGAGCCCAAATCTCGCAAGTGTTTGGAAAAAAAAAAAAGAAAATATACCAGCGTAGACCCCAAACAGTTTGTGCGTTTATGAAGTAAGCCACAGAGACGGCCCGGGCACGCAACCGTTTCAAAGGAGTAAGAACCCCTCACAGGTAAACCTGTTTGGGGAACAAACACACAAACAAAATCCACCCCCCAAAAAGAGGGCGCAAGATCCCAATTCATGAGATGGTGAAGTGCATAGTTCTAGTTGGTTCATGTTCGTGTAAATCCCCAGAGGTCCCTGGGGTAGCACAAAACACCACTTAAACACCACACCACAGCTTGTGCAATGAATTGCTGATTGCGGATTGTATATTTTAATCGGGATCTCCCCAACCAAAGGGGATGTTGGTCTTTCCGCACCTTCCGGGTCGGGGTCGCAACGGTGGCGCTTCGGTTTGGTCCGCCGAGCCGCTGAGGCATCCACCAGGATGCCGTGCTCATCGAAGAACACCCGATTGTACTTGCCAAAGCGTGACGAGTTGTTGTTCCTCGCGGCCCACGGAACTGCCGCCAGAGCGCTGCTCGACCGAGTTGAACAACGCCCGAGGATTCGCCGTGTAATCTACGAGCTGCCGGGGACTGGAAGAGAGGCCTACATGGACAGGCAAAACCACCCCATGGGGTGGGTAGGTGGGTATATATGCCATACGTAGAGTGTCTGGGATCTCTCAGTGAGTGTAAAAAGGTGTTGAATGAGATCTTTGATCGGTTGAAGGACGAAATCTTGCACCTGAGAGTTCGAACATCTCATATCACAACTACTAGCATTGCTAGGCAGATTCCAGTCCTCATCGTCACTGCATTGCCGAAGGATTCCAGGATCGGTTGTGCTTGCTCCACCCTCCTCTGAATTTGTTCCTCAGTTGGACAGGTTTAGGGCCGCCGGGCCCAGGTGCTGGCGCGGCCCAGCTCGGACCTTCTGAAGCGAAGGCCGCACTCGCAACTACAGCTCAGCAGGCCGAGGGGCGGTCTTTTGGTTGCATGAGCCTGAGACATAGCCCAAATATTCCATGACCTCAGCCCAAAATATGTCCGGCTGCCTCTGGCTTCTAGCTTTGCAGTCAAAAAAAATGTTCTCCCAACTGATCAAGCTAATTAAAGCCTGTTCAACAGGGCCACATCCTGACAAATCAAGAACCCCCATGCTTTTGGACCGACTCCGGCGCCGTCAGACTCCGCCGTCCCAGGCGCAATCTTCGCCGTCTCGGTCTTCCCGGCACCGCTCTCCCCCGAGATGATGAAGCCCTGGTTCTTCCGATCCCGGACCTCACGGAACGGAGCTGAGCCGGGCGGCGTTTTTTCTGGGAGCCCCACTTACGCACGGAGCCGGGCCCATCCGTGCAACAAATCATGGTGATGAGTGAATGGGATGGGATGGGATGGCATCACCTGTTTTTGGTATTCGGGTTTCAATGATTTCATGGTAATCCAATTGCTTCAGGGGTTCAGGATCCTGCTATGGAGGCTGTGGAGACAGTGAGAGTTGCCTCAGCCATGGCATGTCATAGAGATACGCAGCCATGACACCAGCGCTCGGTATGCAGTGTCGGCAATCGCATAAGGATGCGGAGGTAGTGCTCCGATGTGTTTGCCACGATATCTGAGACACTGGGATTCACCATAAAGCCTCATTGCGATGGATGCAGTGGCATCGCTACTAGGAGCAAGAAGCTACTAGTATCTCCTGGCCGTTCTACTAGTAGCAAGAAGCTGCTAGTAACAAGGACATTACTACTAGTAGCAAGAAGCTACTAGTGAGGCCCCTCATGTTTTCGTTTTTTTTGTCCTTGGTTCATGTCTTTGAGGCCCTGGCCCTGTCACGTCTTTGTAAGGGTTCACAGCCAGTAGTACCTGAGGAGACATGGACGTCCTGACGCGAAACAGGTCCGGTCCGTCGGGTCCGTCGGGTCTCGACGAGTCCGGTCGTGTCAGAAGAAGGTGGTTGGGTCCCAATAGAAACGAAGGCTGTGCGGCTGTGCTTTTTTTAACCCTATTTAACCCTTCTTTCTAACAGCACAGCTTGTGAAAACTAGTGGAAACCGTTTAGCTTCTGAACCGTTTCTGGGGTATATGTTCAGGCTCTGATTTGGTGTTGAACAGGTGCAGCTTGAACAGGTGCAGCCAGGCTCTTTCTAACCGTTCAATAGTGCCCGCCCGCAGAAGCTCAGGGGGAAGTTGACGCCGACCCACAAAGAACGGTGTCGCTTCGACGTCACGGTGTCGGTTCGATGCAACGACAGGATGCACTGGCAGTGTAGGTGTAAATCTCATCGACCTCAGCTGTGGCTCTTCCTGAACTTCTCAACTCGTTTTGGTCAAAAAGCTTTAAATAAAGGACCAAACTGTGCGGGTTGACCTCTCAACTTCTGACTTCGGGACGGCTGAACCCGGCCTCATGACGTGCTTTCAAGTTCTCAAGGATCGTGGCATCGTTCAAGTGCACCAAGGAGGTGTTGTCGCTGCCTGTCAGCCACCGAGGCAACCCCGGGCCATTCCGACAGGGCGCGTTCCGCGCGCGTGCATGGAACGACCGAAAAAATGGTGTTCTCGACGGCGAGAGTAGAACTCGCCCCGCGCAACGGTTCCTCCACGAACTGAACAAACACACTTCGACTGGTCTCGCCCCCCCCACCCCGGACTGGTCTGGCGTTCGTGGCGCACAGAGTTCAACTCCAAGGCACACGTGGCGCCGTCGTCGCGGATGAACCTGCGACGGAGATCTCCCAGTGGGATCGTCTGCAGGTCATCGGCCACTTGGACCACCTCGGGCGACGAACCGCCAACGGCGCACGGCTTCGTTGCAGTGTCAACGAAGCGCAGGAGGTGTTTTCCGCAACAGGAAACCTACCATGAATTTGGGGAGGGAAAATGGTGTCGAAAACAGGCTTTGGCAGGGTCAAACGGTCATGGAGGAGTGATTGCTGGAGAAGAGTCGAGTGTTCATGGCCGCTGATGACAACAAACATGAACTTCAAAACTGCATTAATTGAGGGAAGGGTAAGTCAGTTTTGGGCATAATTAAAACACCGGTTTTGACCTCAACATTCACTGTTGCCAGCAAGGGGTCAAACTGGTTTTCAGCAGGTGCTGGCTGCGGGAACCCTCGTACCTTTTCGGGGACCTCAAAAGGGCACGACTCTTCTCGCCAGTTCGCCTACGACTCCTCTCGCCTATCATCACCACCAAGTTGTACTTTTTTCTCTTCACGAACTACCAACAAGCCTTGCCACTACCAGTCAATCTAATTATATATATATATACATATTTGCCTTGACCAACCCCCTCCACAACTGCAAGCAGCATCGTCATCAACATCATCAACAACAACTGCCTCATCATCACCCAAAAATCAACTTCTATCGAAGCTGCTGCGTCCTCAGCCCGGACTTCCACCACCACACCCGGCGTGAAGAGCACTTCCTGCAGGAGGTGCCAGAAAGGTGAGGTCGGTCATGGTTCTTTCGGTGGCTGAGATCCATTCCAAAACCCGGTGTCGACTCGGGATGTGGGACAAGAAGCTACTAGTAACAAGGGCATCGCTACTAGTAGCAAGAAGCTACTAGGTGGAGGCCATCGCTACCAGGGTGGGACACATCTTCTCGTTCTTCACCAGGCAAACATCGCGCCTTTTCACATGGCGCGTAGACCAAGTCTTGCACCTGGCGATTTCGCGGCGGTTTCACCATGTGTTTTCGGTGTATTATATTGAATATTAATAGGGAGGAGACACCCTGGCCCCTTTTAGGGGGTTTTCCTAGTCGATGTTCCGTTTCTCCTTCCCCAGAAGGGTTCGGAACAGCGTCCCGGAGGTCTCCCACCGAGCCCTTTGAAGTAAATCCCACCCGCCTTGAAGTCGGACGCACCCGGCATAGTACCCTTAGCTGCACGTGTTTCCAGCAAGCAGTGCTGCACGTGCGTTCACGTTTTGTCACCTCTGAAATCACGGTGTTCGGGTGCTGTTTTGCCAAGGCACTGCAGCAAAAATGGACATGCGCCCCTCAAAAAGGATATCTCGAAAACGACTCATCTTGCGGTCAGAAAAGGGAGGCCGGAGCACACATGGAAAGGCTTTTTAGTGGTTTTAGAGTGCCAACATGATCAGAGAAGAACTCTGACGAGAGGATCAATCCGTCGGACTTGCACCCTCCGCTGCTGGCTGTTGGAAGCCGTGGCAGGAGCAAGTGGCTGCGACGTCTTTGCGGATCCTGGTGATAGATTTGTTCCGCAGAATCACCAGGAGCCAAAGGGGGGACTTCGGCACAGACTCACAGCAAACCGGCCAAGACCACGTGCATCAGTGGGTGGGTGTGATGTTTTGGGGATTGTGACAGTGACCTTTTCTGTATATGGGACGCAAAACAAAGACCAAAAACCCAAATGCGGAAGACACACGCCGACTTGCCAACAGTGCCAAGAGTCGTAGTTCCTCGTGTGCGTCTTTGAGACTTCGGAAGCTCTGAGCCAAACCGAGGGCATGCGCTGAATGGATATCCACTCCAGTCGCCCAGTGGTAGGAACTCTAGGCCAAGACCTCCACGCTGTTTGAACTTATCATCTCCGCACAACTTCTCTTTTCCGCTGTGACCTGGAGACTGCGTCTGCCATGATCTGGGTGTTGCAGATCCCAAACAGCCGGGCTTTGTTGCACGATGCAGTCAACATTGTGGTCCCCCTTCGATGGCAAGTGACCACTGAGCATTACAGTCATTGTGAACCATCGCATGAAAGTAGCCATGGATACTTTCTGAAAACAAACTATCCCAAGTCCTGAGCCTATTAGCCCATTAATGCCCTTTATAAATACATGTATCATCATGTATGAAGCTTGTTTAGCTTGCTGCAAAGCTCCAGAGCCGCGAGCCACAGCGGCTGCCGAAAAAAACTGCCTGGCTGAAGCTAGCCTTGAATTGATGCAGCTGAGAGCACTTCCGGTCTCCCTGCCGGACAGATGCGCCAGTCCTATCTCCACGGCATCTGGGAAACGTTGCCGCGAGCTGGACTGAATTGTTTTGCCAGTTTAAGAATCATGCCGAGTTCTCTCATGGGATTCTACTTTCTTCAGCAAATGTTCTGCTAGGTAAGGCAGGTTGTTCTTCTAGAGGGAAGATCATTGGCCGGAGAAATCAAGAACAACGAAATCATCCTCTTGAGCGTGTCTACTGTCATGAGGTGTGTCAGATCTTCTGAACAGATTCCTTCACTTCATCGAGTTCTATATGCTTTGGAGCCGTTTCAGCTTGCAACTTTGAGCTCCAAAAACGGCTCCACATCGCTCGTCCAGGCGAGCACGTCGCCGTACCACACGGGTATAACGCGCTGGGAACGCCCGAGTCCGGGGGTCCTCAGACTCACCTGGCACGATTGGCGGGTCCGGTGGTCGGCAGCGACCGACGCGTCGTGCGGCGGTGGAGGTGGAGAGGAACAGGTTGGTTGGGCCTTTGAAGGTCACCTCACCTCGTAGTTGGCAGATTCGAACTGCCCACAACCATCCTACCATCCCGAAGTGGAGAAGTGTCCTGCACCTGACGTTTGATGACAAAACGATAGCATTTCGAGATAGATAAACCATACCAGCTGTCACGACATCTTCTTGGGAGTCATTCCGGTCGACGTCGAGGTCAGGATCACGGCATCCGGCTGCAATGATGCCAGGACACATGTAGTTCTGGCCCTCCTGATAGGTCGAAGGCCCCGGGTCGAAACCAGCACGAGTTCGGAGAGTGGAGAGAACGAGAGCCACCGAACGTGGAACAATCCTAGTGGAAGCAAGGTTCCCAAGCTCTTACCAAAAGCCTGCGGTGCCTGGAAACTTGTCAGAAGGACCTACTGTACCGACAAAAACAAACATGATAAAAAGAACGAGGCTTGTTTGAGTGGCAAGATAGACCTTGAGCCGTTTTTTTGACTATACAACTCTCAACTCCAAAATTCCATCCCACAGACTGGAATTCAAACCCCAAATGGTCAGATTCAAGACAGTTGGGTCTCCTTGAAAAGTGCTCTTCGCTGTTGGGCCCACCACTGGCGTTGCAGTTGTAGCTCCTCGTCCTTGACCTGGAAGCGGTGACGGAAGCAGTGACGGAAGCAGTGACTGACCGGTGGCCCATGGGGGCCTGTGGCCTACGTGAGTTGTTCTATCTAATGTAGACTCTTGATGAATCACCCCCCCAGACCCCAGACACTGGCGACATGAATTGAGAAACCTCCTCAGGGCGCTCTGGCTTGATGATGTAGGCGAGTTCACAGTCTTCAGTGAGGTGAACAGCGTTGCCTTCAGACCCCAATACTTAGGCCCCATATGAGACAATGGTCCAAAGGAAGGTCATGTGGACGATTTAAGGCAATGCCCCTTTGAAGGTGCTTTGAAGGTGTCTCTTTACTGCGGCGTGGTCACGGGAGTGCCAGGGCTTCTGGATTTTGAGCCATCAATCCTTAGCTGAGATCAGTCGCCACCATCTCAAAAATTAGTCCAAACCGTAAAATGGTGCTCAAAACGCTCAATCAAGATGCGTTGCTGGCAAGTGGCTGTGTGCATTTCTTGAATGTTTTGATGCACCGGTTTTTTTCTTCGGTCCTGCAATCAGGGACATACCAAAGACCATGACCTACCTGTCTGCTCTGCATCACAGCGCACATACCCACGTTCGACCGTGCGAGCCTGGTTTCTGAAGCAAACACCCCCGCCACGTTCGACCATGGACATGTCTTCCAGAAGCTGCCATTGTGTTGGAAGCCCCAAAGCTCTTCCCCCAAAAAAGTCCCCCCTTTTCGATCCTTTTCTCTGAACTATTAGCCATCGATGGAAAGAAGCAGCGCCTGGGACTCGGCGGTGAAAGTCTGCTTGGAGTGGATGTCTTTTGCAGATCTTCCATGATAAACGCACCTGACAGAACCCACGCTGGGAGCCATGTGAGACCTGCCGAAGATGTGAGACCGGCCGGAAGCACGCCCGAACCCACGGCCGATCAAAGACTGAAAAGCTGATGCTTTTTGAAGCATTGCGTTTGAAGCAAGAAATCCCTTAATAGCCTCCAACCCAATAGCGATGGCCTCCAACCTACTAGCGACGGCCTCCAACCTGAAAACTGATGCAAGCCAAGTAACGCTGCTCTTGCCAGTTTTGTCTATCATCCACGAGGATGCTGTGGCGCCTTTTCTCCTTGAGAGCAGTCAAGGAGTCATCCACTGGAAATAAGGCAGAAAACCTGGAAATCAAACTCGATTTGAAAGAGGGATGCAAATTCATCTCCCCATACACACGTCACGGCATCTCGTGCCCACCCAAAAGCTAGCGGCGGCTGTTGTCACGATTAAAACAACAAAAGCTAGCTGCGGCTCAACAAGTGCAATGCAAAAACTATACATCAAAATATCAACCCTTCAAGAATGTCTCTCTCCCACCTGCATAGATGAGCACTGGCCAAAAAAAGGCCCATCTCCTAAGACCCCTGCCGGATCTCCGGATCTTCAGGATTCTTCCTGATTCATCCATCTTCTATACAACTATAGTATGTATACTGTGGTGATCCTCATCTACAAGCCACCCGCCCCACACCAATCATCCTCCCCCACCGCATGCGGCCTGCCTGGTACACGCTGGAGGGCGTGTGGGCGGCGCGCCCCACCGAGGGTCGATGCTGGAGGCTTTCCGGTGACATGGGCGCCAGCGCCAGCGCCAGCTGCCCCTGTCGGACAATGCCGTCTGTGAAGCAGTTCTTCGGCGGGGTGGAACTCGAGTGGAGTCAGGCACCGGAAGAACAGCTGGGGCAAATACGTATGATGAAACAAGGCCTTTACTCCACTTAGTTCATTTTGGGAGGTTTTTGGCCTTGCTCATGTCTTGAGGGGGATGGAGAGAGGGAACATCGATCATCATCGATCTCCTTGCTGGTCCTGCAGTCCTCAGTTTCCTCTGAAGCCCTGGAGCTCCGAGTGAAACCGCAAAGGCAGGAAGATATGATGAAATGCTCCAAAGCAAATTCGGGATAGTCTGAAACCACGTCCATGCCTGGGGTTGGTAACTCGAATTGAGCCTGCTCTCCATCCTCATCAAAGCTCAAAAACGGGCAAAAACCAGCAGCTGTCTCTTTTGGGATGGAAACTTTGCCATATGCTGTTTTCCTTTGGAACGTCCTCTAGATGCAGTGTGGTGTTCATCTCCAGGGATTGTGCAAATGAAAGTTGGAGTGCCGTCTTGCAACTGAGTTAGTGGCATTTCATGGCGCTTCAGCAAATCGTTCATGTCATTCTGAATCTCTGTCTGCCTGTCCACATCAAAATTCCAGCTGAACGGCAGGCCGTGCAGGCTGTGCTTACCCAAACAAGCCCAACGAGGCAATGCCACACATGCGTGACGTGGACATCACAAGACAGGGAATCTACTGCAGCGTCCGCATGAGCACGGCAACTAGAAAGCATCTCTGATACAGGTGTTCATGTGTGTGTGTGTGTGTGTCAAACCCTGTTCCTAAGGGCTTTCCACTTCTGATTTGTTTTCACGCAGGGGGGCAATGCACGACTGACAGACATTGCCCAACGAAGACGCGCTGTCAGATCGTGGTGAAGGAATGCGGGACGCCGCATTGTGTACCTGCTCAATGAACTTTTGCACACGCTGTCCACTCCTTTGGTTTGTTTCATGGTGTTTCATGTGATCCTTCCCCGAAACAGGTTTCCCACCGCAGTTTTCCACCGCTCGTGAGCCACCGCTGAGTCACTGCAGATGCGCATTAACAATTGTTCAACAATACTTTTCCGCTGACTCTGCCACCTTTCCATTCCCTAGCCATTTTCCTGGGAATTGAGTTAACTGAAAACCAATGTCAGAGTGTGTCTGTGTGCATCAAAGCAAAGCATGGGGTAAACTTGTGGGGGAGCCTCTCGCGCCAGTTTTGAAAAGGCATCCAATCAAAGGCGAACGACCCATGCTTTCCGAACACGCGTTAGTTTGTTTGGGGCGAAACAGAGAAGAACAGACGCAAGATAGACCGCATGGGAACAGTCGTGTATGGCAAAGGTCGTGTATGGCAAAGGTCGAGTCCGACGTCCCTAGGATTCGGTCGTGTTTGGGCGAAGAGTCCCGAAAGCACCGGGGGCTTCGCGCGCGCGGTCGCGCGGTTCGCGGTGGGTTCCGTCTGTGGGTGTCCCGACTTCTTCTGCATCTCCGTCTCCACCTGCTTGCACCGGAGGGCCAAAAAGTCGATCAAGTTCTGTCCTCGGTCGGTGCGCTGAGCGCCGCCCCTGCGGTCGGCACCAGCGCACATTACAGCAGAGTATGGTCTTGGCACCTCTCCGTCTAAGCGTCTAAACTTCTTCAGGAGCTCCCAATGAGTCTCCCAATGAATTAAGCCAAGAAACACCACAAATACTGAAACAAACTGAAAACACTCACATCACTTTGCCATGATTGTCTCACCTGTCACACCTCACACGACCCGGGACAGACCCGGGACAGACCACCTCTGGCGCGTCGAGAATCGAGAGTTCAAGTCCGGCGAGATGTTGGACCAGCCATCCTGACAGGTTGGAGGCCATCGCGGCCATAGGTTGGAGGCCATTCCTAGTAGGTTGGAGGCGATTCGTGACCTTGAGAAGCACTACTCAGTGCACTTCTCCAACCATGGGTTGTCTCTTCATACACACCCAACCCATCGTTGGCTGGTCATGGACTTCTTATGGGATCTTTTGGTGACACCCGCGTCGAAAGTGTGTCTAACCCGCGGTGTGAAACCCGCGGGTTAGAAGGTGTTCCCATGTCCTTCCAACTGGTCATCCTGCAACTTTGTACCCACGAAGTCCCACAACAAAAATGCATGGTTGGCATTCTTTCTCCCTGACTCCTTCTCTTTCTTCAGAGCAAAAGAGCTTTCAAACCGTCGGCTTCGCCCAACACGTGGACGCACCAGCAAGGACGCGCGCAAAACGTGTGGGGCACCAAAAGCGGGGAGGATGTACGCACCTCAGTCACCTCAGGCTCACCAGGCAGGTGCCTGGCGATGATTCTGCTTGTAGCTGGTTCACAGTCAACCGGTGACCGGTGAATCAACAGTCAACGTCACATTCAACCGGTGACCGGCTGTTCCACTGCTTGGATGTCCAATGCTGTGATTTATATATATATATATATATTCATCAGCGCAGTCAAACTCAGTTGAAACTCCTGTAAGTTCACAGCGTTTCTGAGACCTTTTTCCCTCAAAGCTTTCCCTGGATGCGGTACTCTAGTGCCAGCCGTCTGCGGCGCTTGCGAACCTCAAATGCTCGAATGAGGTTGAAGCAAGGCCAGTGTTTCTGTAGCAGGTGTGGCAGTGCATACATGGTTCGTGACATATTCATGACCCAACACCGGTCTGACTCAATTTGCTCAACGGACACTAGGCCAAGTTAGGCCGAGTGAAGGTCTTTGGAGTCCCCCAGTGGAGTTCAACCGATGTCAGCGATGGCCTCCAACCTACTGGCCACGTGCCACAGAAGCCAAAGTAGACAAGTGTTGAGTCAAGTAGCTGGCAAATGTGAGAAGGTTCGGCAAAAACAGTGAACAGTGTCTAAAGTCTAAAGAGCTCTCAAATATCATAAAAGTCAGAAAGCAAAGCAAATCCTTTCTGAAGTGAGTTCTAAGGATCCAGTCTCCCAACATACAAACCTCGTGCACCGGGTCCAGACCAGCTCCACCCAGCTTAGCTTGACAAGCTGCGGAGTAGGCGCTACCCAGGTCAAAGGCATCCACCAGTTCTACTTCGTTCCTGAGCAGGAGGATGGGCGAGGATGGCCGTTCACCTATCACAGAACGTGGCTGGGTCCAGGTTAACTGTCACGTGCAGGATCCAAGTAGTCAAACTCAGGTTGTTGCCCGTAGATGCTGGGATTTTGGCGTGAACTCACCCCTGATGGAGTCGGTTATATACCTCATCTCCATCTTGGTCATGTGCACCAGAATTCATGTTCACTTGAGTTTTGGAATGACATCCCATATCACGTGGTGGACAAGAAGGTCAGAACCAAGACCAACAAACCTCTGGTGTGGCTCTTTCTGCGTGTTGTCCTGGATTGGAAATCATCTTTCAATCGTTCTTCCGCAAAGAACATGAGGATTTACTTGTTGATGAGACCAATCAAAACAGTCACGCCTTCCCCCTGCTTTCATGGCAGGCACAGCCTCTATTGTGCCTTCGATGGGAATTCCTCCATCTACCACACCACGATGTACATCAACACCCACCTGCAATGACCACACGAATCTTGAGCTAATCCACTGAACGCTGGCTCGCCCAACAACGAAGGAACACCCCATGTGATCAAACAAAAAAAACCGATGGGCTGAAGGAGTTCATCCTCTCCAAACATGACTATGCATTGTGTGATTGTTCCTCTCCCGGTTCTCCCCGGGAGACCCGCGGAGACCGTCGTTCTCGTCGTTCACCCCCCCCCCCCCCCCCCCCTTCTCTCGATCCCAAAGTTCCACATCTCAAACTCTGGGGAGAGGACGCTCAAACCTGGGCGCATTCCGCTGAAGCCCGGAACCAGCGGATGTGTGGACATGCGGGCGCGCGAGTGTGGGTCTGGGTCAGGCTGGTGAGGAAAAAGGAACGTTTGGTAAAATATGATGAAGTTCAGGTAAGCACGGTTTTGGCGCATCTGAGTTATGGTTCAAACAGTGTGGATGATATGATCAAGGCTACAACTTCAGGTCATCCTTTCGAAAGCGCCTGATCCAACAAATGGACGTCCCAGTCGGAGCTCCGTTTAGCACACCGATTCTAGGGACATCAGACGGTGCACGGGGCCCCTACCTCTGGTCGTTCCGTCCAAACGAGAAAACGACGGGACTCGACTCCTCAGTCACTGCGCAAGAACACCATCAGACTGTGCAGTACTCTTAGACCATCAGTACTCCACAGCTGAGAGGCTCAAAAGTCGACACCCAATAGACAACTGCGTCACGGGTGCGCGTTCCACAGGCCTCAGGCACAGAACAAGGAAGAAGCGACTGATGATTCACAACCCCGCCGAGTCGGATTGTAAAACCTTTTCATTCAGATTCATCCAGTGGGCGCGTTTATTGATCAACAGCATTGTTGGAGATGTAAACCTGTTTCCTACATGGCTTCTTTTACCCGCATAGATGTTGTGAGGGTTCCTGAATACTGACGAATCTGAAGCTCCATGAATGGATGCCTCGCCCAGGTCTACGAGACCTTGCTTTCCTGCAACATCGGATGCGACATGAACCGGCACCGGAAAAAGAAAGAACATGGCGCAGCTGGCACGAAATCATCTGATGATGCTCTTCGTCCTTGTTCCAAGTAGAAAACCAACTGAATTCCGTGCTGGCGCTGAATTGCCGAAGCCCAGTCCATCAAAGTCGGGGCCGAAATCTGCCAACGCCGATCTCGCGTCCCAACTCAATCCGTCTCCGGCCGAGACGCTGGCACACAGCCTCGCCCGTGCTCATGTTGTAGTGGGCCAAACCTTGCGTTTGGAACGTCAGCCGAAGTAGCCACAAACCATATGACCCATGCTGTAGCGGACGGAACTAGGTCTACCGCGGTGTTTCTACTTGTCCTTGGACTGACACGATCTGCTGTCTGAGGAGTCTGAAGCTGCCAATGACGCGATTGGATCGTCCAAGTCATGAAAGTCTTACATGACAAGCAGCTATAACTTGCATAGTATGCGACCGTGGCCCGTCTCGCTGCAGCCAAGACCTTTGCATCCCGCGCATTGAAGTCTCCCTTGAGGAAGGTCACCTGCTCGAGTGTTGACTGAATATGCACACCCAAACAAACTACATAGGCAGGAAAAAAAAATCAGAAACTGGCAGGACACCCTGTGGAAGGGATGTGCTCAATTTGGGGAAAAGGATGAACATGGAGAAGCAGAAATGGGCCCCTGGACACACTGTTCATCTAGAAACCACTGGTTTGGACATCCGAATCTATCTTTGCCTGCGGGGCTGCAAACACTCGCAAGAAGCAGCAAGGTGCGATTTGACACAAGTTTCATGGTGCAAATCTTTCACATTTATAGGTATCACACACAAAAAACGCCGATGAACGACCATTTGCTCAGCTATACTTCAGCCCACCCACGGCAATACCATAGGCCACAATCCGCAGTGATAACTCGGTGTTTAATATCGCTCCTTTGCATCCGTCCATATCACACAACCCCTCATGTGTAGCTCGCCACCCCCCCCGCACCACCGGACCCACACACCCGCGACTCGCGCGTCGCCTTCTGGGCCGCCTCGGGCGCCAGCTGCGCGAAGCGCCGCAGGGCGCGCTGCGCCTCGGCGTAGCGAAGCTCGGAGATCTCCACACCGATCACCTCCCTGGCCTCATCGCGCGGTGTGCGGTGCGAACGAGATCGTTTGGGGCGACCAAAAAGCATCCGTTGGGTGTCAAAGAGCATCGGTGGTGGCTGAGCTAAGCTATTGAAGTTCCTGTAGATTGGATCGTGGATCTTAGGACTGGCAGTTGGACCTGTATTCTGAGAGTTGGAGGACTGTCAGACCTTAGTAGGTGCTCCATCATTACTCAGACAACACTCCTCAAGAATGGCTCTCTAGCGCTCTTGATCCACAGCCATAGGGCCATAGTCTTGTGTTTGGCCCCAAAGCCATTTCCAGGATTCTTGGATACCTGGATACCTGCAACGTCCAAAGTGGCCACAACCAATCAAAACCTGTCAACCCCACCTGCGACCCCGCTAACCCGGTGCCCGAATCAGCCCGAGCCACTGGAGAGAGGCGAGCGGCCAAGAGGACAAAGGCGCCAGTGCTGCAACCCAGGTCCAGAAACACATCCTTAGGCCGTAGCTGCCTGGAGTGGTGCTTTTCAGGAAGAGAACAAGGGAAACAACCGGACCAAGAAGATTCTTCGCTCACATCTCCCAAAGGAACCCGTGCCCGCCAACTCGGGACCTCCAACTCCCGCCCAAAAAGATATCCCGGCGAGAGACCCCAAACAGTTTGTCTAGAGGTCTAAGGTCTAGAGGTGGCAGAAGGTCTGAAGATCTAGATATATTTATTATATTGGGTCCCAGAGGGAGGTGATGGTGGTGGTGACGGCGACGGTGGCGGTGGTGACGGTGGCGGTGGCTGCGCGTGCCACGAAGCCTGCACTTCTGCAAGCAAGCCACATGTCCAAAAGTCGCGATTCACTTCACCTGCCACGAAGTCAGAGCGCCCCCATCTCCAAAGCACTGCGCCTGCCGCGAAATCTGCACATCGAAGCAAAGCCGCTCCAATCTCCTGCACCTGCCAGCAAAAGTCGACCTTGGACCACCAAAATATGAGGTTTCCCTTTGCGTCTGCCACATAAAGTGAAATCCAAAAATGTGTACACCAAAAACTGCGCAGTCGAAATGCACTTCGAAGATCTCGAGGTGAATGAATGTACCGTAAATAGCAGCTGCACACGGGGAGATTCTCCGATCAGACACCCGGCCTTAACTACTACCATTACTACCGTAAGAACCCCCAGGCCCTAGTGTGGCCACAGTGTTTGGGGAATTAAAGCCCCGAGTCTCTGTTGCTTTGCTGGCGAAAGGTTTTTCTAAAGTGCAGTGCTTGAAATCTGCCAGTTTGGAGAAAACTGGTTTCTTGAGGAATCCACCCAGTTTCAAATGTCCAGACCTCCCACACCCTCATTTCCTGCCGCTGAAGTGCAAGGAGGACAAGAATCGTGCACCGATCTCCGGCCTGGAGTCAAGAAAAATGACAAAGAAACATCTACCCTGGGAGTCCAGTCGATCTGATGGTGAAAGATCTTGTGGTGAAGATCTGGTGGTGAGTGGTGTGACGGCCTGGTGGTTCTCTTTTGAGGGCGAACTCTCATCCAAGACACTCCAGCTGCCATCCATTTGAATGTGCTTTGGCCATGTTGAAGGAGACCTCGCGCTTGAGAACCCCACATAACTGTCCCAATCAACCCCCTACCCTACAGTCTGCTACTGAGCTTACAACTTGGCACATCTTCCTTTAATCTAGTTCCGTCGAGTTTGTTAAGTCGTCCCCAAGCATGGTTGATGGGTTTCACCGTGAAATGTTGCCCCCCAATGTCGACCACCTGGTTAAGCATCCCGATGCATCCAACGCCTTCTTCGCCCTCAAAACATAAAAAACATAAAACACTTCTCAGCCGCTTCGCCGCTTCGCCGCGTCGCGTCAACCGCGAAGCGGACCTTCCGCCCCTCCAGCGGACCTCTTCTTGTCGATGGCGCGTCTCGGGCTCGACGATGTCATAGAAGGTGAGGCGATCCACGCCAGCCATCTTCAGGTCGTTGATCCTTGGATTGTCAGGTCGTTGATCCTTGCAACCACACGGGAAACCATTGCCTGTGGAGTTCGTTGATGTTCTTTGTAAGAGTCTAAGGGCCCTATAGGCTTCGTCACTGCACTTGAGGAGTGTCTTGGAGCGGCTTTGGGGTCTTTTAGGGGATTTCTGTTGTTTTCTCCATCCTTCCTGATCTCTCAGCACCTGCACTTGCTGGACCTTTCCGAACGTCCGCTCCTTTCCTCCCCAGCACTGCCCCAGCGTCCCCCGCCGCATGGCCACTGTCATCGCCTCCAGCGGCTTTGCATGCAGCGCGGCCGGGCGGCCGTCCGCCAGCCGTGGCAGCACCGCAGCGCGCGCAGCGCCCTCCCTGGACCTCGGTGGGTTGGTCGTGTCTTTTTGGGGGAAAGGAGGTGAAGAACGTCCTTTTTTGCAGCTAGGCTTTTTTGTAAATGGAGGAAGAGGAACTGAAGATGTCTCTGGAAGAGGAACGGTAGGCTCTCATGCTTTTGAGGAAGATTTCATGAGATTGCCCTGTTAAAAGCGGAACGAGGATGAAGGAGCTGTGTCATGGACGTTGGGCTCGGAGGGCTTGGGAGCTTAGCATCTATGTTGAGGCACACAAAGACACCACTCAGCCCAAGAAGCATGAATCAAACGCAATTTTGGTTCCAAGATCATGAGAAATTGCCTCGAATGTTTCAAGAAAGTCCCTTTGACGACCTGGAAGGAGAACAAGTCAGTCTCTTGACCCTGTGCAAAGCTAACATCGTTCCGGCACCGGGTCAAGGGATTGAAGATCTCAATATCTCAATATCCGCGATCCCAAAGGCAAAGTCTTCAGGACACTTGGGCGTTCATTTTGTATAATCAGGGAGACACCCAACCAATGATTTTGGTCTATGTGTCCTTCTTTGAGAGGGTCTTACTTATATACTGGGAGGTTGACTTGATCTGCGCGCGCACTTGACTCACCGCCCGGTCACCACGGCACGAAGATCGCCAGCACGGCCAGGTTCAGTGCGAGGAATGCCGGAATCCGACGGATGCTCATCCATGTGTTCGGAACATCCCCCCAACACCAACGGAGCTCGTGGCGCAAGTGGGGGCGAGATGCCCGAATCCGTGCTGGCCTTTGTTGAACCAAAAAACTTGATGTGTGTGTGTGTGTGTGTTCGTGTTGGCAAGGATTCTCCAATTTGTTTGTCTGTTTCCCGGACTCTGCAAATGGTCTCTTACTTTTTAAACTTTTGGCATGTGTGTGGAAACGAATTGATTCGGCATTGCAGGCATGCGAATCTGCAGGTATGCTTGAATTGGCCCAGCATCAGCACCAGTCATGTTCCACACTTGTTGATGCAACATTGCTGTGACTGGTGACGCTCTGCAAATCAATCCGGAACGTTCAACAACACAACCCAGAACCTCTCATAAGTTCTTCTTCTAATTCCGACACAAGTGAGAACCACTTGGGCTGTTGCATCACGTGTATTTGGTGAGGTCATTGGGGACATCTTCACACCAAATTGATATCAAACAGGACCTCACCCTGGCCTCTGTGAACTGCGACATGGAGAGGGCACATCCTTGATGGACGGCCGCCTCTCCTGCCGGCAAGAACCGCAACATGTCGTTCTCCCCACTGAACCGCCTCTCCTCTCGATCCTTTTTTTGGAAAGCTGATACATCAGCTTAGTGATGTGGCATTTGCTCTGTTGAACTTTCTAATGTGTTGAAACGTCCAATGTCCAACTCAAAGCTGCTCTGGTTCTTGCAAACCCTCCAGGACCGTACAGCAGGCCTTCTCTTCAGACTGCCTAAACTTGCTCTCCTGTGCAGGCACGAGCGAAAACAGCAGACGTCCCTTGTGTGTCCAAACTCTGTTGGGCCATCGCCACAGCTCTCTTCGTCGGAGAACATCGACACCGCACATCATCGCGTGTTATCCCAGGGAAAACCAATGGCACAAAGCTGTGGAAACCGAGGTCCCGCCGTTTCAGACGCTGGCTTCTAGGGGGAAGACCGAGGTCCCGCCGTCTACCGACCCCCCCCCTGGGTTCGGTGGAGATAGACCAGACAACACCGTAGCGTGGGGTAGGCGGGTATCTCTATTGAAGTACACACCCACATGTGTCTTCTTTTTTTCGCGGGGGTGTTATGAACCATGCTGACCATCATGACAGGGTCTTTCTTTTTAACATGTTGCTAACCACGGGCACGGACTGGATGATGTTTCAAAGAATAAAGGAGAACTGACATGTTCTCTCATCAAATCTGGACTATCCAGCCATCCTAAACATCCTAAACACGCAATGCCTCATCATCTGATAGCTGGACTCCAAGACCCGAACAGCTTCGGGCGGAGCTTCGGCCTCGTCCGGAATCGGCTCGAACTCGGCCTGAGAAGCAAACAAACGAGACGGTGACACAAACACTTGTCAGACTGTAACTGAGCCCGCAAAACCATGTAGACCTCTAAGTGGTTTTTCCGTGTGCCACTGTTGTTGTTTGGCACCATCTCAAGATGTCGAGACGGGTGTGATGAAGGGCACAATGTCCGGCTCGATGTCCGGGTGTCTTCGGCTCGATGTTCCCAGTATCCCGCAAACCATGCTGAATTGACAACACTAGAATCACTAGACCGTTGATTTGAAGGGCCTGCTCTTCTGCAGCTCTTCTGTGTTCCTCAAGTTCCCTCGCCTGCGAAAATGAAGTTGGAGATTGAAGAAGAAGAAGAAGAAGAAGACAGAATGAGGGCCGCCAAAGTAACTTGCAATGATGTGCGCACAGAATTGCAACGGAACATCTATACGGGAAAATAAGTTTGGGGGATTGAGACCGCGGTTTCATGTATTCATGTTCCCTTACAACCCATTGAAGTATGCACAGTGTTTGCCTTTCAACCTCGAGACTCCCTACCGTGGACTGGGCGCGGCCGGTCTGGCCTGTGCCATCCTGCGCTCTTCTTCCCATCTGGCCTGCGGCGTGGCACGTGCGACATCGACGTTTGCACGGCCCCGATCGGCGCGTCCGATCGTAGCGTCCCGTCTCGGGTCCGAGTCGTAAGGCCAGGTTGTTCCCGTTCGAGTCGCGTCCTTGCTTGCGACACGTTTTACGTGCTCCACCAAAGTCACGAAGTACATGTGACACCGGCGACTTCATGGGACGCATGCGTTCGTCGCGGCTGACCTCTTTAACTGCCCTTCCGCGTTCGTCTTCCTGTCTGGCCTGCTGCACATTCCACAGCAGAAATGAAACAACTTGCAGAACTTGCAGGTCAAGTTTTGAGAATGTTCTCTATTAGAATGCAACTCCAGAATAGTCGAACTATTGCTTCAGAGCGTGTGGCAAATCACGTTACCCCCATGATATTCACGTGCAATGCAATTGGTGGTGGGCGTTCTTCAATGATTTAGGCTGCGATGCACATTCGGCAGGAGAAAGGAAACGACGTAGAGACAGGGTTCTAGCATGTGTTCTCAAGGCAACTCAGTGATATTCTCATATATAGATTCGCAGCTTGAGTAGCCAATCTCAGATCTGCCAAACCCGCTTGCAATGTGAGTGTGGCCTCTTCTTCTGCCATTCTGCATTCTGCGGCCTGCTGCTCCGCACTGGAGAACATAGAGAAACCAAAGAACGAGTCAGCTGTTCTTTCTTGCTTATCTTATTTATTTGCATGCAGTCTCGGAGCGGACACCGTTGAGACTAACCTAGACCAAATTCAGATATGCCATGGTGGGCCGTACAGGTATTTGGCATGGTCTATGTTAGCCTCCACCGGGCTATCTTGACCTCTATGGGCGCGGTCTATGTTAGCCTGCGTTCAGTTGGTCCATGTAAGAATCGGTCATAGACTGAGAGTGGGAATGGTCCATGTTAGTGAGTGTCCGGAAATTGCCAAAAATAGCGCTAATACCGTTTCCCCAGGAAGTCACCGTTTCCAGTGGTCCATGTTACAGCGCACCTGAATTTGAGTTCTGGTCTATGTTGTTTTTCCCGGAGTAGTCATTGAATTGCCGAACATGTTTCTTGCAATCTTTGTGTTCACAGCATGCTTGGAATGTGTGCGTGAATAGTGACCTCTTCTTCTGCCCTTCTGTGTTCTTCTTCCAATCTTGCCTGCAACATGTGTAATTGAAAGTACAAAGAACATAGTTCGGACATAGTTGAACGTCAAGTATGCAGAATGCAGCTCATTGCCCAAAAAAACGAAATACTCCAACGATTGCTGCTTTTGCAACTTTTGTGTACAATTGTGCAAAGAAAGACATGCTTGGACACCAATTTTGCTGAATGTGGCTCGATAAAGTAAAACAAAAAAAGCAAGATCGTAGTACTCCCTACAATTGTGTACAAAGCATATAGCACACCAAAAATACTCGGAAAGCGCGTTGCGTGTTGACTGGCCTCTTCTTCCACCCTTCTGCGTTCTTCTTGCAGTCTTGCCTGCGAGACAAGGAAATCGAAATAACTACAAAGAGACAGAGTAAAGTGGCCCATAAAATCAACTGTGAACACTCTTAATTGTACAGTCACAGCTTGAGTAGGACATGTCACACCAGGAAGACCTGCTTGCAATGCATTTTGTGAGTTGCCAAGCTGCAGGCAGACACTCAATGCTTCAAAGAACTGACGTCCGAAAACGTTTATTCGCAAATGTGCTTGTTATATGTTGTTCGATGTTCGAACAGTAGACCTCGGAAGAACACAGAATAGCTGCTCCATGTTGCGAAAAGAGTTTCTGAAGATGGCAAAATAGTTTCTGAATAATATTGCTGAAGAATTGTGGAAACTTCTTGGGAGTTGCAGAACATGGTGATGGACCTCTTCTTCTTCCCTTCGCTGTTCTTCTTCTAATCTGGCCTGCCGGCGTCTGAGAGCACAAGGGAAGATCTGTTAAACCAAGTTCTCACAATGCATTCACTGTGGTGCAAAATTCAAGAGAAAACAAGTTGTGGATTCGCATCCAATCTCAGATTATCAGTTGACTAAGACATATACACTCTATATAAATGCGAATTCTGAGTGACCTCTTCTTCTGCCCGTCGGCGTTCTTCTAATCTTGCCTGCTTCAAAACAGAACGGGTACATGTTCAAGACAGAGCTCTCAAAAAGGTGGTCGACAGATCCATAAATCGGAGTCTGTTTTGGTTGCAAAGTCTGATTCTAAAAAAAAACATTGATATATAAAAATACAGGTAGTAACTGACCTCTTCTTCTGCCCTTTTGCGTTCTTCTTCCAGTCTTGCCTGCAACATGCACTTGAAAGTAAAAAGCAAATAGCTTGGACACCAACTTTGCTGAATGCAGCCGATACAATGCAACACTATATTATATACCCAAACAGTATTACATCAATGATACTCCGAAGGAATATGCGGGCCTCTTCTTCTGCCATCCTGCGTTCTTCTTCCAGTTTTGCCTGCAACATGCACTTGAAAGTACAAAGCAAATAGCTTGGACACAACCTTTGCTGAATGCAGCCGATATAAAGCAACACCAGACTGCCCAAACAATAGCAGCACATCTGTGTTGCAATTACATCAATGATACTCTAATGGAATATGCGAACCTCTTCTTCTGCCCTTCTGCGTTCCTCTTCCAGTTTTGCCTCGAACATGCACTTGACAGTACAAAGCGAATAGCTTGGACACCAACTGTGCTGAATGCAGCTGATATAAAGCAACACCAGATTAACCAATCAATAGCAACACATCTTTTTTGCAATCCTTGCGAACGTATCATTCATATTATCTCAATGATGCTCTAATGAAATATGCGGACCTCGTGTTCTTCCCTTCTGCGTTCCTCTTCTAGTCTTGCCTGCAACATGCACTTGAAA